GTCACTCCTGGTATCTTAGTTTAGTGTCCCCAGTAGAAGACAGCTAAAAATGTTTCCCCATAGGATGAGGCCCTGTCACCAAAAATCAGCCCCTTGCTGATGTGAACACTGGATTTGAGCTGCTTTTCCCATGAACTGATGTAAGAACACATTGAGCACAAACCATGTTTCCCCCCTTGCAGTGAGGAGCACTTGAGGTTGCTGGGTATCAGTAACTTCATCGCAATGATGCCAATTCACAGCCCAATTAATTTTAATCAACAGGAGTGAAAGTGGAAGTGGGTCGGGTGAAGGATGCACTCCAACAGAAGAGGGATTAAGGCTTGAATGAGGCCTGCTCTGGGAAAGATGTGGTTACTGACAGAAGGCCTTTTTACTGTCAAGTACTGAGCAGCTGGTTGTTTTGGAGAAGGGAAAAGGAAAGAAGGCTTGAATTACAAAGTGTTCTTCCAGACAGGAGGAGTCTTGACCTACCAGTGTACCACTGCAGCAGCTGCGTAGGCACAGACACTTTAGTCAAAATATGAATACATCTTATACTGTGTTTCTCTGGTGCAACCAGTTTTATTCACATTTAATACCTCCGTATGTAAAGGGAATAATAAGACACTTGATACTGATGTGTGATGCTTCAACGCGAGTGTTAATATTGTACTTACGTTCCCTGTACCTTCAGCGAAGAACACAGCCTTTCACTCTGTGGAGAAACAAAGACAGAACAGACTCAAGGACCTGCACTTTCCTGGTCGGATTACTGAATCACTGGACAAAGAAGTCTAATGTGTACAGTGTACTTCACAGCAGTTACGCAATATTTTAATGGCAGTCATGCCAAACCTGCTGTGGACTCAATTAGCTCCTCTAAGCCATTGTGCAGCTAACTGCCCTTGTGTAGACTGAATAAATAATACAAACATATTTATTTATTAATATTTGAAAGATTCTCTTTTATTTTAACAAAAACATCTTCACTGATACTGGAGGCTGTGGCCAGTCCCAGGGACCTCTGGGGGTCGATTGTTAATCTGTCACCAAGACAAAGTTGAACTACAATCTCCCCACTTTAAAAAAACAAGAGATCACATGAGTTTTGCACCAACAGTCCTACATCAGTAGTACAGTCCTACCTCACTACACATGTCAGAGTCCACACGGCTCTGTTGTCACAGTGGTAACTAACTGAAGGACATGTGCCTCAGTCAGGGATCCACAGTCTTCTCTGCACCATCACAGCAAAACAACAAGTCTCAGTGTAATCAACAGCCAAAGCACCTGACCTGTGTTTCAACCTGTTTTTCCTCTCCTCTGTCTGCATCTGCACCTGCAGTTTATGCTGTGCAGAAACGACACTGCACAACTTACATGCACTGCAGGGAACTGAGGCTACAGAAAATAAATGGACAACTTGTTTTTCTGACCTTCCCACGATGAGTTTGACCCCTTGTGCTTACATGACGATGGATAACTCTTTGAACTGATGTAACTTTACTGTTTCTTTCTCTTAACTCTTATTTTTAGGTACATTATTATTATTAATTACCAGTTTATTCTGCTGAAAGGTGGATGGAGTGAATAAAGATGGAGCCTTGACAGGCCAGCGGGGCTTTTCAAGGCCACATTTAGAGCCTAACAATTATTCACAATGACACTGAATAGTCTGGAATTAGACAATAAATCAGAGGGGTTTTTTTTTATTTATGTTTTTGGCTGCAAGTGTAGCCAAAATAAACAACCTTAGACAGGATGAAGATTCAAACCGAAAGTACAAACGCCTACACATGGCTGTGACAGGAAAGGCCAGTGAGCTTCGTCATGTAAACACTTGGCTGTACATATGTTGTTGGTCCACATATAAACATAAAGGTAATGTTAATTATTACCCACTGAAAAACATCAAGGTTCTGGAGCTAATTCTTGTTGTTGCTTTGTTGGACCAAACATTTATAGCTGGATTATAAATGTTTGAGCCAATAGTCCTGTTTCCTGTCTGTTTACCATACCTGTCAGAATGGCATGCACACAAAAGAACACTTCTTTGCAAATGCCGATTTCCAAGCAGCTGTTTCTCTCCCATTGCTCAACTGTTGTCATGGCTACAAACAGTCGCCCTACTTTCGTCTACATGAACAAATAATGCAGTGGCCTATGACCATTTACTGGTAGAGTTTTTGTTCATACAGATTTTTCTTTCAGCCACTTTTCAAATGTTGGCTCATTAATTGAAGCTGAAGGTTGTGAGTGCAGTCATATCCTTCTGCAGCTAACAGCAGGAAACAAAAACAGTTTTGACAAGACTAAGAGTTAACTTTAGTTCACTGACCCGTAGAAATGTAGAATGTGTGTGTGTGTGAAAGGGAAGGGAGAGGACAGAAACAGGAGAGAAAAAAAGGGAGAGAGGGAGAGGACGTGGAATGTCTCTTAGTTACCTCTAGGGTGACTGTTTTTCTTGACATCCCATCCTTGTGTCCTACGGGCCCCATTTGTGAGTTTCAGGGCCATGACCCAGGTCATGGTCGGGATCAGAGTATGTAAATCACAGACCTCTCTCTCTCTCTTCCTCTCTCTCCTCAGCTGGAGGCTGTGTGACTTCCTTGATGCACATCCTGTTTATCAGCATGGGATAATCAAAACTTAAAACCTCCTGCTAAGCCCCCCAACTCCAGAAAGATTTGTCTGAACCATTCTTCACAGGTATCACAATCTCTGCAGAATTTGAACAACCCTGAGCACAGGTGAACTCTGCCATCTGTCAGACCCCAGGTAAGGAGTGTAAATGACCACAACAGCTTTGGATTCAGTTATGAAATACGAAGTTAACTTTTCATAAAATCTCACTGAAAAACTATCTCAGTGCCAAGCACAAGTGCAGGATATTTGAAGACTTTCTGCCAGTTAAAAGTATTGTGAGAAATGTTGGCAAAAGGGTTTAACATTTAAATTGAATTATTAAAAATCTGCATAAAGTCAGCCAGAAGTAAAAAAATAGCCGGTTTAGCTCGTTTTGAACTAATGTTAAAGTATGAAAATACAACATGTTAGCTGTCAACAAATAATTCAAAGTTCAAAGTCTTAATTTCCCAAACTATGAGTAAACGTTAACTGGAGGATAGTTAAAAGTCCACCTCCGGTGTTTTCTCTGAGCTGCAGTCGGACCTTGGTGGAACACAGACAAACAGGGATTGACCTTGGGACAGAGAGAGAAAGGGTGGGAGAGAATGAGTGAGGAAGGGAGTGTGGGAGTGAAAGCAGTGGTAAACACATGCCAACCACAGGTCAGTGGGTGGATAAAGATGGAGGGTGTGGAATAGTGATGACAGGAATGAGTAAGATGAGACCCAGAGCTGTTTTCATCCAAAGATTTGTTGTCGACTGAAATCCTTTGGCTCCTTCAGGTCAAAATAAGAAGATGTTGATGCAGAATTGTCAACAGTCAGTGCAATTCAGTTTGAATATAAATGTGCTATAGTATCAAGTTGCATAGAGGTATGTCCACTTGGACATGGACGCCGTCTATCACATGAGTGGAGCAGATTGGTCTGTGATAACACTGGGAGAAACGGGAGATATTTTTCTTTATTTAGTCTGATTTTGATGTTTGCTTTCAAGTGGCCCATGTTTTAAATATCAAATGGTTAGGGTCTTTATTATCAACCACACGGAGCACAACAGAACATAAACAGCGTTTTAACAGCTCCTGTATAACCTACTCCCACTTCAACATGACAGGGTCAAACTGCTCTCACTACTGTTCTCTTTCTGTCGCGCGTGGCCCACGCACACTGCCATTTACAGACAGACATTCGCTTAGTGAAAAGTAGGTCAAAGCAATAAAGCGTAACAGTAAAATCTACAGTAAGCCTATGGTAAACATACAGTACATCCAACAGAAGAAGTGCTTCATCACAACCCACTGTTCCACTGACCTGTTTTCCAGCAATAACAACCAGTGAATTCCATCATCAGACTGGAGTCTGGAAACCTTTCAATCACTCCATTTGATGGTGAAAAACAACAAACATGTCACATAAAAATGCATCAACCTAATGCACATAGGCTGCTGTGATAGCATGTCTGAACAACAAAGATAAGGTCTTATGATCAGTACAACTCTTGTTTGCAACTTTCTCCCTCTGGTGAATCAGAATGATGCAGTGATTTATTTAGTTATGTTTTCAAAAATCATGCACAGATATTTCCCTGCATTTCAACAGTGCAGAGCTTAGTAATAGAATCAGACTCAAGTTTTTGGAAACAGAGCATAGAACTTTTCTCTCCTGTGGCGAGCTGTAACTACAGTTAGTGACAAAGTGGTTGTCCACGTGATATGCCACAGTCTTCTGTTTCTAATTTCACTCTCACCTCATTTTGGATGTTGACAATTTTATTTGGTGGTCATAGAATTACTGCTACATGCCCTGATCTTGTACCTAAATAAAAGATTAAAGTGAACCTTCCCTAAAAAATAAGCCTAAGATGGCCGATTAATACTGGTTCAACTTAATCGAACCAAGAACAATGGCGCCACCTGTAGGACAGAACAAGAATCGAGGCACTGAATATTAGAAGAAATTTTTTTTGGTTTACTTTAATGGTTTTATAAATAACCCGATGAGTGCATATAACGTGCTTTTGAACACTACAGGGGACCTTCTGTGATTTGTGCTTATCTTCTCTGCCTTTATTAAATATTGACTTGGAGGCTATTTATACTTCAGATATTTACAAGTAATCCAATCCAGCCATGGGTGTTCAAAATACTGGTCTGCAACACGCTTAATTATGGAAACTGCATAGAAAGGCAGTTAAAAACTGTTCATGTAGTTAATCTGTGCAGCTGACTGTTAATTACATTAACATGTATATTACATACACTTAAATTAACCGTAGTAGTCAGCTATTCTAGCTATTGCTGTGACATGTTAAGAATTACATTTGCAGTATAAATTATGAAACGAACTTGCAGACTGATGTCTGAATAAATAAGAACAGGACCTCTATGATTTTATCTTAATAACCACATTTATTCCAAAACAACCAGAATAAGATTGAGGCCTGCCATTTTGAGTAAATGTGATGTTTCTTCTACTCCATGACACTCGATTGGCACCTCACAGCTGCAGGAGAAACTGTCAAGACAAAAGGTCAAACAATATATATAAGAATACAGAAATAACTTATGTTTCAATGTGTGCTGTGGAAAGTCAACAAACGTAAAAAGAAAAGTTAAGAAATTGCATTTAACCATGCACCCATAAAATACACATTCTGTTAGATATTTCATGGTGTTCTTGTTACACTGAACATTTAAAACATGTGAAGTAAAAACCTATTTATTAAAGAAAAAAAGAGAGGCTTAAATCAGTCCTACCAAGTAGTATGTCAGATTTCAACCAAGCTTTTATGGCCGTTTACTGACTAAATGTTGAATCCTTTAATGGCATTTATGCATTCAAAAGCAGGGATTTTTTTTGGTGACTTGCAGCACTGGTATATACCTTAAATTGCTATTCAATTTATAAGGTTTGTCTAAACCACACAAAGGTTTCTAATAAATAGCAATATAAATAGCAATATTTGCACACATTTTTAAACAAATAGACATTGTTAACTGTCAGTAAACAGGTGAGAATATATGTTTATGTTCACGTCTCCTCACCTATCGCAGCCTCCTGGCTTCTCTTTCAGACTCAAGAAGTGTCAGCACATCTCCTTCTCTGACTGGGCCCTTCACGTTCCTGATGATGGAACGGTTGCTGTCGTCCATGAATTCAACACGGACCTGGGAGAAAAACAGCAGTTTACTAAGTGTTCAACTAAACTTGAGCCAAATGACATTTTAAACAGGGAATTTGCCCAAAGATATTAGGCAATGGATAGTTTTGGTTTCTTGAAGATATTTCACCCCTGTACCAAGAAGTTTCTTCAGTTTTAACAGACTGCTGGGAAAACTTTGGTATTTAGACGCCAAATGGCTGAATACCTGAATAGGACCCTTATGGTAAAACAAAGCCAATATGAGAGCCTGACCTGTTGGCAGAGTGGTGTATTTATCTGGGTTAAGGTGTGAAGGATATAACGTCAATCTCCTGGTTAGTCTATGTGGAGGTGTTGTTTTGTACTGACTTTTCTAAAAAGAGTATTCATGACCACATTGAGGGAAGCTGAAAGATTGATTGTTTCTAGCAGTCAGAACTGAATAAGCCTTCTGGGCAGGTAAAATGCCTTCTTACATAAAACAACTTAGGCGACTATGAAACACCTAAACAGATATCAGTCTAAGAAGCCTTTGACAGGCTCACTTTTAAGTATTATTCAACTACTGCACAATATTTTGGTGCAATAAGGCATGTAACATTTTGGAGTCTAGTTTGCCCCACCAACATGTGAAACTTTAAACTATTCCTAAACCACTGTCACAACTTATATAAAGGCAAAAAAGAACAATACAAGAACCAATAAATGTGACTTGATATTTAAGTATTGTATACAAGTCTTTCAATATTAAGTATATTATAATATTATTATACATAATATTCAATATAATTACTGTAGTAACACCTTAACTGTTGAAACCGATAGAACTAAATGTTAAGAGTCAGTTACACTCTGTTGTTTATATATTACCATTAACATTATAATAACAATTTTAGCACTGTGTTGACAAAACTCTGACATGGATTCACGCAAATTCAAATTAATTTCGTTGGCACTCGTTCACAGCAAAACGTCTACTGTAACGATTGTTCACCAATTGTTAGCATACCTGTGTACACTGTCCCTGGGAACCAGTTCTGCCGAGCACCTTGGTGACCTAAGAAAAACAACAAAAAATAATCAAACATTCATATTAGATATTAAATCTCTCACTAATGTTGGTACATACAGTTTCTAGACTAAACTCTACCAGGTAGTAAGTGAACCACGCATTGATAGGCCTCCATGATGGGAGCCTGGCGTGAGCACAGCTTTGTAAAAATATATTACTTAAAACTTCAAGTAGCGTCACTATTCTGACACCAACGGGTACATAATACATAGCTCTATCGGCTTATCCACACACGTACGTCTTATACAAAAAAATAATCACGTTTCTTACTCTAGCGAGCTTGATCGGCTGCACGCGGCTGGCGTCCATGTTGTCGGCTAAGAGCGGAAAGGAAGTCACGTGGTGCAGGGACGGCGTATATCGCGAAGAATATTTTTATTTGACTCAAAGTTTTGAAATTTCAAATGTATTAATTTATTTTGAATATATCAAGGTATTTAGATATCAATATGATGAACGAATCACAACGTGTCTTCACAAAAATTATTATATTTACACAATATTTTTTGTAAAATACACTTCCGTTTCCGGTAGATTGGACACTACCATCACTTCAAGATGGAGGAGGGAGAGGTAATTATTTGGACCGTACTAACTCGTTTGTGCCTGTTTGTTGTTTCTGATTTTTAGGTAGTTGTCTTTAGGTACCATTAAAAATGTTTTTTAAATATGATGCAGGTTTAAATTTGTGTATTTGAGTATTTGGTACCTTTTCCTACAAGTGTCTATATTTTAAATTTTATGCCTAATTTTACTTCTGTTTTGCAACTTAGTGCTGCATTTATTTGGAACTTATAAGGCAAGAAAAACTGTATCTGTATTGGGATAAAAATTAGATTTAGTTGTACAATTCATTTTAAACATAGATTAGACCCTTTTCATTGTAACAAGGATGGATTTTACGAAATTGAACTGTCTAATATAATTAGTTTAAGCTTGGACAAGAAGCTTGTTTCAAGATCATACACACTTTCATAGTGGTTGTAAAAAAAAAAAAAAGAAGAAGACATTTGACATCACAACCTAAGGTTCCACTGTAAAAAAAATATTGCAATGATCCCTTCAAATCTACCTGAACATTCACTATGAAGTTCTGGATTAAAAAAATAAATCTACAGCCTTGTTACTGATTCATTGCAGCTAACACAATCCTCCTGCTGCCTTTCCTTCTTGCTCAGAGCCCAAAGCCTTAAATCACAACACTAATCCTTGTGAACAGTATTTTTAACTTGCGTTTGGACAGAAAGAACATCAATAGGATTAGAGAATCAGTGCAAAGCTGAGGCGGTAACACATGCAGTTGATCTCACATGCTCTGAGGAAAGCACAGCAGTACTTACTTTATCTGGATTTCAACATGAAAGCAGATGGTTTCTCTGAAAGTGTTGTTTGAATAAATACCTGGTGGATTCTTCTACTTCTTCTTCTTCTTTTTTTTTTTTTTTTTACTAATTTAGTCAGAACCTACCGCAGAATAGAACAAAACTACTCTATGTTTTGGACACCAAAAAGCTGCCACAATGGAGACTGTGAGGCCGAAGTTGAAAGTTTTAAAGAAGCGACGTTCCAGTCTTTTTGCATCCATAAAACGGGAAGTTAGTTTTTCACAAAGCCATGAGGAAGACCAACGTGAGTTCCCTTTTTCACAGGATAGCTCAGTCAAACCATGGACTTCTATGGACAACCTGGATGCTCCTGATGAGAAACAAGAAGATCACAGCCCGCCAAAGCCAAGACTTCCAAACATCGTCAGTGTAAATGTTGGTGGAAAAGTATTTCATATTCCAAAACATCTGGCTCTGCGTCACCCAAAAACCAGGATTGGTGTCCTTGCCCTGTGTGATAATCCAGTCAAGCGTCTGACGCTCTGCGATGACTATAATGTCATAAACAATGAGTTCTTTTTTGACAGGGACCCTATGTTTTTCCATTACATATTTCACTTTTACTGCAGTAATGTTCTGTGGGTGATGGACAGTCTCTGCCCTGTCAACTTCGAGGAGGAGATGTCATTCTGGGGGCTGAATCTAAGGGACAGTCCAAGGTGTGCTTGATTATGTACTCACTGTGTGTGCTGTTTATGTTTAGGGCTGTCACTATTTGTATTAAATATACGAGAAGCTCTTAATTCTCTCTTTTCTGTGGCCTCAGGTGTTGTCGTATTTTATATGAGGAGAAACTAGATGACATCAGAGATCACCTCAAGGTCAACAAGGAGCTGATTGATGAGATTAAACCTCACCAGGATGACAGTGCTTACAAGACCATGTTTCTGGGACACTTTCGAAAAGCCCTTTGGGACCTGATGGAGAACCCTTATTCTTCAGTGTCAGCCAAGGCCTTTGCTGTGTTCTCGAGTCTCTTTGTTCTTATTTCTATTGTTGCAATGACAATGAACACAGTGCAAGAACTCAGGCAGTACAAAGTCGCTGGCAAAACCTACATGGAATGGGTGGAGATCAGCTCCATCCTTTTCTTCACCTTTGAGTACTTTCTGCGATTACTGACCACCTCTAACATTAAATGTTTTTTAAAGAGCACCCTCAACTTTGTGGACATAGTGGCTGTGATGCCCTACTTCATCCAGCTCATCTTTGAAGCATTTGTCATAGACACTGAGAACCTGAGTGCACAGGAAGATTTGAAGGCTATGTCGAGGGTCAGCAAAGTCAGCAAAGTCCTCAAAGTTATCAAGCTAATGCGTATTTTCCGTATCCTGAAGCTTGCCCGACATTCTACTGGCATGAGGGCGTTTGGTTTCACCATTCGCCAGTGTTCTGAACAGGTGGGGACAAACGTTGAACAGATTCACAGTATTCTGTTTTATAAACATTATTTGTGTAATTATGAGTGAGAATCTAGTTAGTGTATATTTATCTAAAATTCCTTCTAGTGGTCATTCAGGTTTTTTGAATGTTTCTTTCATGAGAAAACATTAAGGTATTGGCAAGACTGCTACTCTGGAAATTGGCAGATAAAAAAACTTATAAGTGAAGCCAAACCCATAAATTATTACCTAATTCTTTGATTGTTGATTTTATTGTAGTCTTTTGTCTTCTTCAGGTATGCTGTTTGTTTCTCTTCATCGCCATGGGCATCTTCACCTTCTCTGCATTGATGCACTCCGTTGAGGTGGATCAGCCCGGGACGCCATTCAGCAGCATCCCAGATGCCTGGTGGTGGGCTGCGGTAAGTAGGATTCTAAAAGGTGGTGGGCTGCGGTAAGTAGGATTCTCCATTTGTCCATTTGGACACAGAATAGGTTTACCTTGAATGCAAACTAACAGGAAAGCAATTTGTACTGAAGCTAAAGCGAGCAATAAACTGTCTCTCCAGCTTCTTTGGCTGCGACTGAAATTCTTGATCAGTTAACAAGGTTTGGACCTTGGTAAGCTCTTCCTCTTGGCTGTGCTGAGGAGACAGAAGAAAAGCAGCAGTGTTTGACAGCATGATCAAGCACCATGGTGCAGTCCGAGTGTCAAGGATTTAATTAAGTCTTCCAGGATTTGTGCTGTCTGGCCAGACTAAGACAAGTGCACAGGACACTGAGTGTTTCTATTAAGAAAACAGAGATATTTTAGACTAAACGAACATTTTACCACAAAGTAAACATTACACATTTGTGTTAAAATAATTTTAGGACTAGTTGTGTCTCAATATAGAGATGTCAATAGACAAAAATATTTAAAAAAAAATATAGAGATGTCAATAGACAAAAATATTAAAAAAAAAACCAAAACAACAACCCAACACAAACTAAAACCCAAATCACACTCCCTCCAAAACTGGAAAAACCCAAATCACACTCCCTCCAAAACAGGGTCTTCACATTGGCTGCCTGTTTCTTTTGATTTCATTTTCATTTGAAAACTCTTGTTCTTGTATTTCTCTTTTGGCAGCTGTCAACTATGGGTCTAATCCTCTTTAATACATGGTAATGCGTCTAACTCACTGCCAGGCAGTGTTTGCATGATAAGTGTTGCAGAGCCTTGGATTTTATAGTCCACTGTAGATGAGTCTGTGTCTGTAAAAAAAGTCCATATTCATCTTTGTGTCCCTTTTTTAGGTCAGCATTTCTACTGTGGGCTACGGAGATGTTGTACCTGTGGGCTATTTGGGCCGCTGTGTGGCATTCGGCTGCATCTCCTTTGGCATCATCCTCAACGGCATGCCCATCTCCATCCTGTTCAACAAGTTCTCTGACTACTATGCCAAACTGAAGGAGCAGGAATACACATTCTCAAACACAGAGCGCACCTTCCAGCTCAGAAAACGCCTGAGACGTAAATTTGACAGTTGCTTTGATCCTCAGCCTGTAGAATCAGACGATGAGATCCAACAACTGCCCAGTGGAAGACAAACTGGTCAGGATAAGGAGAACTGAGTAAAGCAGCGGCGTTTAGAACAACCCACATCCCAAATGGCCTTATCCTCCATCCGTCTACAAACTGTCAGATCCACTCTGCCTCCAAAGCAGACTCTTCGTGATGAGTGGGTAAATGGAGGCAGCAGCAAGTTGAGATAATCTATAAGCCTCGGTTTAATAGCTGGTGTAAACACGCAGTGTGTGACAACTGTCACATAAATAAGATGCTTCCACTGGACAGATGTGTTTGTTTCCCCACAAAAAAAATATCTGGTTGCATCTACAAATTTCTAATGTCCCTGTACTTTATGTTGTGATCATTCAATCCAAAACATGCACTTGAAAATCAAACCTAAAAACCTATAATAATGTACATTTATCACATATTAATAAATGTTCTGAGTGAGTGAAAAATGATTGAACCTATTCTCTTTCCTGTGTCAGTCTCATCTCACAGAGAAGTTCATATTACGTGCTCTCTCCTCTAATAGATGACAGTGTCTCTTTAATGCAGTTACGTGGAAGTAATGGCCCTGGTGTCAGTGGTTAAGTAGTGTCGTCACCATCAATTAAACTCTTATCCTTCCTGTCTTTTTAAGACTTAAACACTGATTTGCCAGGAATAGGTGCTGTTTAAAGGGACTTAAGGGGAAGGTCAGTCATGCAAATTAATCAGATGGCAGATTAAGAGTATAAAAAAAGAAATGAACAATTTAACTGAAATGATTGCGTGCAACCTTAACGATACATCCAATTTCATTAGCTGGAGAAAGACCTTCGGAACGCAGAAATGTCAGTACCATTCATTTTAATGGGGTTTTAAGAGCATGTTGCTAATGATCAATCAGGTCTACAACGATGTTCACGCTAATTGACTGGCTTTTTACTGACTGTAATAGTGGAAATGTCCAAGACTGTGTCTAAAAAATTAACTTCCACAGAAAATTCTGTTTTGACTTTCTCAAAAAAATAAAATCACCTTCACCTGAGTTCTTATTAGTGACAAAAGGCAGACAAAGGTATTTAACTTCCACAGAAAATTCTGTTTTGAAGACTTTCTGTTTTGAAGAGGTACAAAAATAAAGCAAAATCTAATACATCACAGTCTAATAAACAACAAGCTTCAAAGAAATCTTGTAATTCAACTGCTACGTAAAGCGCCTGATCAGTGATGTCATCACCGAAGGCTAGAACGCCAACCGCAGACATAGAAGCATCATATCTGGCCTGTTTATGTAACCATGAGAACCAACAATAACGTCAGTATCCTTGACATGTCATTTTCCAGATGCACTCTGTTCTGTGAGTTTTCATCACTCAGGCTGTGTCCAGATAAGGAGACTCACACTCAAGGAAAACATTTTCGTCAATTCTAAAACTGAAAACGTCAAATGTAAAACTGAAAACAAACAAACAAACAAATAATTCTAATGCTTGTTGGCTTTCTTCTGTTTGAAAGGGTTTGTTTTTTGCATAAAAGCTTTTCTGAAATGTGTTTTCAAATAATTTTTCTCATTTAGGAAACAAAAGCTTGAAATCTCTATGTGTAGAAGTATCTTTGAGGCACAAACCTTTACCATAAGTACATATATTCTACGTGTATTATTCATATTTTGTACACAGTCTACATAATTAACCTGAGGATCCTGCTTTTATGAATCTGACAGACAGTTTGTCCTTGAGGACAGACATCACTGTCTAGATCAGGACATGCTTTTCTCCTCATCAAGGCTGAATATGTTTCAGATGTTCTGTGGCCTCAGCAGTTTTTAAAAAATTGCTACCATGGGCAACGTGAAGTGACTATATAAACCCGTCAAGTTCACTCCATCAGTCATCAACTACCCCTGCTAGTCTCCACATCTCCAGTCAAACCATCAGTGAAGTTGAGACTTGAACGTACCATGTCTGCAGCCAAGCGTTTGCCTCTGACTCTGATACTGATTCTCTGGGCTGCAGTGTGTGTGGTTCACACACAGGACATCAAGATGTGTGGCAGAGAGCTGGTGCGCCTGGCTGTCTCAACCTGTGGGAACTCACGACTGAGGAGAAGTGTCCTGGATAAAGACCTGGCTCCATATCAGCTCACTCCTAACTGTAAGTAGAGTTTATTAAACTGTTTTTGATCCTTTTGTAACAAATAACTTTATACTGTGCAAAGATAAAAAAAAAACCCTTCACCTTTGCATAGTGGACGAGGTCTCCACAGAAGAAGCTGCAGGAGCATCAGAGATGATTCAACTCTCTTCAGAGACTGATGAGGACGCAGACGTCCCGTCCCTGGTTCCTCACTGGTACCCAGTGTCTCCTAGGATCCGCCGTGCTTCTGGAAGAATATCTGATATTTGCTGTGAAAAAGGCTGCAGCATGAGAGAGCTGATACAGATCTGCTAGGTTCACTTACTCATGTGTTGACTCTGTGACTTGACAGCACGTTTAAAAGAAAGTTAAAAATGGTAAAAAAATAAAATAATGAAAAAGTAGTTGTGTTCTGTGTTCTGGTCAACACAACGCATTAGTCAATAGATTAGACAAGAACTACAGTAAATAGATATTTAATAAATTATTTCACACTTATTTCAACTTGTTGGTCATTTTTTGCATACTTTTCAATAGCAATCAAGCGTGTAATCTAAGTGTCATCTAATGAGCTTTGTTGGAAATGTGGTGACTTAGAAGATGACGAGAGAAAAGAAGGAATAAGAATAAGAAGTTGTGTTTGAGAAGTTAAAAAAATGTGAACAGTGTCGGCTCATGGTCCACATCTGGCTACATGCAGACTGTGAGATGAACACACGAGAGGGTGTTTTTATTCCTTTCACTGCGTCTTTGAGTTTGGTCAGCAGGTGTGAATATCTAGTTATCTCCATGCCAACAGTGCACTGATAAACTGTGAGTGAAGATGGCACTTTACATGTACATGTGTCCCAATTTTGAATTCCTGAAATCCTTGATTCTCTTTGGTCTTTTATGCCTATATTTAAAAAAAAAAAATTGAGTTAAGTATTAATTTGAATTAATGCCAAAATGGAAATTGCATTTTATTTTATTTGTTTTGAATATGACAGTATTACAGCTTATGGCTTGACCAGTCATAATAAATGGATATTTGACTCACTGAAAAATGTCTTTGTGGACCATTAAAATGTCTATTTAAGTACCTGAACTAGAGTGAACGGAGACAGTCCATATTTTAGGGTTACAGCCATTTAGTGATGTTTAATTACAGATCTGGCCCACAGCCACAGTGTATTTGGGCCAAAAGAAGACAAATGTCAACTCATGTAGGTGAATTATATGGTCCAACTGCAGTTACTGTATAGAGAATATGTGGGCACTGTAACTGAACACTGGCCCCTAGTCACTGTTACTATCTTTAGTCACAGTTAATCTGAAGATCTAAGGCTAAAACTAGTGGGATGAACACATTACAAGCATTTGTGCAGACTGTAAAACTGTAACTGTGATTGCAAGTGGACACACTTGAATAATGTGACAGTGTGAGTGCAGTTCACAGCACTGGTGCTCTCCTGGGTGGCAGTAAACCAGATTTAGACCAGTGGCTCAGAAATTCAACTCCAAAATAATCTCTGTGATTCTGCCAGTTCTTCTCTGAGAAGGCTTTAATTGTCTGGACGGATAATCAAATGTGAGGCTGATTGTCATTTACTCTGTACTGCTGCTGTCCGCGACAAGGCCTAAAGGGAAATAAAATCAGTCTATACACAGACTCATTGGTAAATGGGCTTAATTTTAGAATGGGGATGAGTGTTTGCTGAATACATACGGATAGAAAGAGACTCGGAGACTTCAAGAAAGATATCAGTGCAATAATAATAATACAACAACACGTAGAAAATAATGGTTTGCAATACAGGTTTTGTGTTCGTCTGGATGCAGTGTCACACGATGACCAGCAGATCGCGACAGATATCTGATTTTGGCTTGTCCATTTTCCACAACACATCTCTCTCTGTGGTCCACGGTTCTCTTCTACTGTAACACGTTCAGTCATTTCAGCTGCTTTTACCAAGTTCCCCGCGGCGCCTCTCACATCAAATTATGGTCAAATCAACTTCATCATCTCAAGTGATCTTTTATCTCCATGTGATACTGGAAGTGAAATTTGATCAGAGGACACTTCCAGGCTTCAGCCCATCATTATTCAGGTCAACGGGAGATGACAAGACAAGGCCTCTTTGATGGGCTTCTCCTCGTTCCTCTTTGGTCAAATGAAAAGATGATTAAGTGAATGATAAAACAGAAACCAGAAACACCCCCACTCTCCTCCTCTTATCTTTTACTTCAGCACGTGTATATACGTGTGTGGATGACGCAGGACAGAAGATGCAGCCCTGCAAACACACATTTATGAGCAGTGACAGGAAAAACGGAGAGAGAGGGAGGGAGAGATGAAGAGGGAGAGGTAGGACTGGTGGGTGTCAATTTGCATGTAAATGAAAGGGCTCTCAGGCCTCTCTGTGTTTTCTGTGAAAGTGTCACGATTAAATATATTATATTTGGTGTATGAATTTATAGTTTGTGTGTGTGTGTGTAATTTGTGAATATATGTATTTCAATCCAATTAAAAAAACAACTAAACTATATATTTTAAGTAAAACTATATGATATTTCCAGCTAGGCTACTTAGTTGTATTGACTTGTTTTACTCACTACATTTATGTAAATGTTACTCAATACATTGTGGTAATGTTAATGATAGCAGAAATCACAAAAATAGGTTCTTAACCATTTGTTTTTATTTTATAAGGGGAAAGAAATGGTACAGCTCCACATGGCTGTTTTCCTGAACATAAACATATTTATGCTCAACAAATACTCACAATTCTTGCATGGCCCTCTCATCAAGTCTACCGTCTCGCCCTGATGATATCCACAATGAAGACAGTCAACGCGTCCTCATTCCTATACCTCCACCATCACATGCACTGGCTTGGCCTTACAGCAAGCAGCTCCCTGTGTATGAACAGATAGTGTGTGACATTAAAAACAATGACCTACAACATGAAGCTACCTTATTATATTACATGTTAAAAGTGAATAAGCCAATTTTACTTTACAAAGTTTGTAACAATGACCTACAACATGAAGCTACCTAATTATTATTTTACTTTACAAAGTTTGCCCAGTGTGAGCCAAGACCGCTTGCATTAAAATACACTGTCGTTAAAAGTCTTTTGGAGGAGATAAACGGTGGTAGCCAGCATCTGACGTCAAGCACCTGTAGGACCGGACCAAAGAGATAATGGAGTTACATTTGATCGAGGCATTCGAACGAACAGTTGCTTAATATATTATAATAATAGTATATTATATTATGTATGAGTACGCCAAAAATACGACTACCACAGTGCACAACAAACCATAAATGAGCTTAAACCTCGACAATAAAAGGTAATACTTTCGTGTAACAGCACTCTGCAAAACGGAGATTCCAGCATGCCTTCTGACCGAATGCGCATGTGCGAATTAAAACCTACTAATTTATCTAAATAAAGGTTACTTGGTATTTTAAAGTTTAGTGCCTTGACAAAGACACCTTTAAATACTATTTAAAAATCTCTAGTAATGTGATCATTGCTGTATAACACCATGTGGCATTATTACACTCACTGATGACATTAATATTAATCATGTCAATACTGTGCACCTGTCGGCTGTGGAGGCTCAGATTTCACCCTTGGGCTCTTAATTATCCAAACTTGCCCTGCCCTTTCCTCAAAAGACGGGGATTTAAAACAATAAAACAAAAAGAAGACATTTCAGAAACATTTCAATTAGGCTACAAAATACTCGCATTCTCGGTGTGCATTTTCTTTTTAAAAAGCGTTTGAAAAATATTGCCGGGATACATTTACCGTGCTGTTGAAAAACAAAACCAATAGGTGGCAGTATTGCATTAAAAATAAATGGAAGCTGTTGTGAAAACCGATGAAGTTTGATGAAGGTGGAAGAAAATTTAAAAAAAAATTCAAAGATAAGTTGCACAATTCAATTAGAATAATAACAAGAAGAAGAAGATTTTTTGAATGAAAATAACAGAAGAAAAATTAAATAAATAAATTAGTTGAATAGTTCAATTATAAAATTAAACATTGAACTAGGGAAATTACTACTCTGACAGTGTTCATGCAGTGAACGATATCAAACATTATTAGTCCATATCAGTGTGTCAGCCAATGAGCAGCCAGGGTTTTGGTGCATGTGACAACCCTGTGTGCTCAGATGCCGCCCCTCTGGGAACAGGAAGAAGAAGAAGAGAGAACTTCTAAAGAGCTCTGCAGTTTCTCTGTGTGCTCTGATCAACCTGTCATCTTTACAGTCTCTATATTTAGCACTTGGACTGTTTTATACTGCAAATACCTCAACCCCTCCCGCCCAAAAATATGAAGCTGCATAGTCTGTTTGATTTAGGTGAACGGTCTCTTTCTTCTTTTTTAAATCTGCAAATATGCAGACACGTGCAAAAAGCAGCGTTTGCAGACGTCTGCATTTCAGCCGTGCAGTGACAACACTTAAAAAAAAAGACAACTATTATTCTTAAAGTGCTGTTAATTTTTTAAGAAATTGCAATCTTCTTGCAATCTTTATGAGGTGTTATAAATTATAGTGGAAGAAAACTAATTACATTATATATACTATCATATACTTGGATAATTGCACAGTTTATTGCACAATTATCCTATATTCTCAGCTCACTCTCCCCCCGCCCAGTTTTTGCATTTACTAAATAAACTGGAATTTAGTCAAATTTTCCCATCAGTAATATTTAAAGTTTTGTTTAAAAATCCCAGATAAAAGGATAAACTACATTAGGGCCACTACAACTGCTGCAGTAGGTTACTCTGGCCAGAAACCCTACAGTAGGTTGAAATAAGTCATAATAACTTCCTGGAAAAACCACTTTAACGCTAAATTGCCCGTAATTTCCTAGCCACAGAGTTCAAATCCCAAATCTGGATAAGAGAAAATAACCTTTTTAGGAAAGCCCTGCTTGGGGAAACCCAGAAAGGGCATTCAGCACATGAACGGTTCCAACATGTCTGTGGAGATCATCCACCGTGATTAGGAGAAAGTATGCTGCCACATCCTACGATTTTGGGTTAAAAGCTCTCTTCCTTTTCTTGTGATTTAAACGAGCAACTTCCTTTTATAATCAGGAAGTCTGTGTTTCTGTGCAGTTAAAGATCCAGCCGTCAGTCTCCAGACCTCTAGGCTTTACCCAAAGTCACCAAGTTGTGTTTTTGTTGTCACTGATTAATATCTAAACTCTGTTTGGTTAGTTTAACTATCCATCAAAATATCTGTATATCAATAACGCGGGAGTGGAAACACACACTTAAAAGGAGTGTGTGCATGTGTGTGTGTGTGTGTGACTGGAGCTTAGGGAAGCAGAACAGCAGGATCTCTGTAAGGAACAGCAGTGTTTTAGGAAATTAAAAAGCTGCATCTTTGTCACACGTCCAGTAAACGGTTCCATCATTGGAGACAGAAGGTTCGTAGGTCAGAGTTTTGTCTCCCTCTGTGAAAAATATGCCTCCAAAGGAGATTTATTCAGACGTGCCAGGTAATGAGGAAGCTGAA